TCCCAAAATTACTTCAACGGAAGGTTTCCAGATGGATATGCGGAGCAAATCCATCTGGCGGAGTCAGGTTACCAAATACCTTCATAAGTGACCTAATTTTAATATATTGCTGTTTGGCAAACAACTCAAACAAGCTTGGATTAAAGTTCAGGAGAAGTTTACAGCATAGTAATGTCCTAGAAGATTATCCCAAATTAGAAAAAAAAATCTAAGAGAAAAGTTTTGGTATAGCGGCAGACCTGCCAAGACGTGGTAGTTTTCCCCTTAAGTCTACAGGCTAAGAAGGAGCTCAAATGTGAGAAATAGGTTAATAAAAAACATTCAAAAGGTTGTGAATATTATGCATGTAAGTCAAAATCCAAGTCAAATAAAAGAGCTCCTTTGCATTCACTATTAAAAGTGGAAACTGCTTCTGTATTCCAAGCTTTTTTTTTTCAGAATTATCCACATGACTACCTTCTATCATACGTTTATTTTAGTTTCTTTAAACTCTTAGGTAGACCTAATTCTAATTTTTTTTTCTACCTTGTCCATCAGGGTAGAAATTTTAATATGGCGTATTTTTAAAGAAAACATCTCCACATCCTGTCTGTTTAATTTGCTGTTTGACTCTCCTCTGTGCTTAAAAGGACTAATGAGCTGCTCTCACGGACATTTATTCACTACAACAGCAGATCCTTTTCTAGCAGAGAACCGTCCCAACATCTTCCGAGCCTTGCGGTGAAGTCTGCAGACAGGAAGCTCCTTTTGGTGACAAGGGAGGGCTTTCAGCTTCTAAACCTGCAGTGTTTCTCAGAGGACCACACAGCGGCCGCTCTTGGTCATCCTTGGTCTGTCGGCCAGGTATCCGAGGTGTTGAGTGTGGTCCTGTCAGTGGAGCCAAGGATGTCACCTTCACTGTTCCAGGGTCTGGCTGCACAGGCGCTTGGTTTTGGTGGGATAGCTGTGTATTTCCATGTCCCTGTAAGCTTGCTGAAAAATGCAAAGTTTCATTTTGTGGTGGGTGAAGTTAGTGGAAAAATGAACCGACAGCCTCAGTGGTTATGGAGAAATCCACAGGGGCCTCGCCTCTAATGGAACTATAAAGTCTTAGGAGCAGAACTATGAGATGAAGCTGCCTATACAATCTCAGTCAAAGTATGCAGAACGCCAACCTTACATGATTTTACAAAGACGTGACGTCTTGGGTAGATAATACTGAAACCCTTGGAGCAGTGGACATTTTTTATTTTTGACCAGAAGTGGGTTTACACTGCATAAAATAGTGCCTTTCAAATTCTGTCATTGCTGTTGTATTAAATGTATTAAAAGATGTTATATTTTCAGCTCAGAAACTTCCTCCTCATTAATCAGGTCCCTCTGACAGGCTGGTAACAGCTCCTGGTCCTGATCCTGACTGACAGTGACCCATTTCTGTCTTATTAGAGCTTGAAGTCGATCACTTTTTGTTGGCTTGTGTTTGTACAGCTGCCTTTTAGGGGAACCGACCACATATTATTAATGGAGCTACAATCCGGTCGGTTTCCTAGCCCAGGCGTCCAAAATTTCAAGGTCTGATATTTGTTTAAAGTTCATTCTTCTCGTTTCGGCCTAAGGACACGTTGCTTCATCATTCTGAAAAGCTCACACAGCGTCAGCATCCAACGTTAACTCCCCTCCACTCTTTCCACATTTGTTCCACTAAAACTGGTTAGAGTGTTCCTGAAAATAAATTACAATTAAATAGCTTTAAATGGACGGCTTCAAACATGTTTTTTAGAGATTTTTGCAAATGAGTCATTCACAGCCATAACCTGGTACATTGCTGAAGTACTTTTGGCAGCAGTAGCAGCTGGTAGTCATCTTTAGTGTGACTGGCACAACATTTTCTGGTACTTTCTCAGCCAATGCTCTCAATCTTTGGCATAGTGAATGAACTGTTTTGGTAGAAAGCCATTTGTTGGTTTTTCTATGGATATTTAGGTGGATTTATGGCCTCTGGCCTCTTCATTGATTGCTTGTAGTCCTGGCAGTTGTGAGCTTTTACAATTTCGAAATGACCGAAACAGCAGGGGCTCTTTAGATGTGTTAAGCTCTCCAAAGTTTTGGCACCCTTTCCCTGATTTGTGCTTTTTACACATGCAGGGTTTACTCTGAAGTCATATTTGCTGTTCCAAATCATGTTCATTCAGCGAAATTCCCCAAAGCTGGACTCCAGTCCAGTTGGAGATGCATCTTAGGAAGCTTTTGGAGGGCAGTTTGATCCCACTCTTTGTTCAGAACAGAGTTGGCCTGAATTGTTAGTAAGCACACATGGGCTGCATCAAGATGCTTCGCTGCTGGCACCCTCCAGGATTTGTGGTTGGGCTCATGTCTTCTTCTATGGAAAAATTATTTCCAAAATATTTTAAACAATTTGAATCAGAATTCATTAGAGGAAATAGTGAGGCACGACTTTTGCTGTCCATTATTGTGTTTCCTGCTCAATAGAAGTCTGTCTTGATGCCCCCCTTCATAAGGCTTTATCCAAAGACCTGTGACTCACGTTGGAGAGTGAATCATGTCCACTTGCACCTGATGTCTGGTTAAACTCTGGAGCAGATCAAACACAATCCCAGACCTTAACATTTAGCAAGGCATTATTCTGGTTGGATATTTAACCACTTTTTCTATAAAGAAAAAAAGTTAGTTGTCCAGAATCGTATTTGTTTTTCAATGTAGCCCCGAAATTTCATTAGGGTTTAGGTCAGAGCCAATCCAGAGGCTAAATGTTACCCTCCTTCATTCATATTAAAATCAATAAAAAATAAAGCTTAACAATTATCTTAAACAAAATTGAAGCAGAGGATTATTTTCTGATAGACACCTGGTTATCTCTGTTTGTGTGGACATTAACAATAATTTTTCCAGTGGTTTCTGGTCTGTGGCCGGATTTATCCTCGAAGAGCTTGGGTTGTTCTTCACCATCCTAACCAGTTTTTGTTTTTTTTGAGCATGACAGTCTGGGTATTGAAATATATATTGAAGTATTGAAAATAAAAACAGTTTTCATTAAGCTAAAATTCCATCAATAGACATTAATCTATGGGCAAATCATCAAATTTAGCTGAAATGAAGGATTTAAAATATTAGTCAGTGTGTAATAAACCTATATATACGGAAGAGGATTAGGGCCACTGGAAAAAAAAAAAAAAAGTTAACTGATTTTTTTTATTTTATTTCAGTACAGTATGGGAATTCTGACTTTAATCTCAGAATTCTGACTTTTTTCTCAGAATTCTGACTTTTTTCTCAGAATTCTGAGA